GCAAGGCATGCCGACTCTACCTCTGCTGAGACTTGAATTTTTCATTTTCCTTTCCATCCTACCTTCCACCCTAGTTACACAAAACCCCTCCTGGTATTTACAGTATTTAAGAAAAACCCTCAGGTTAGGAAATGGGCAGCAATGTGGTGGAACACACCAGGGCAGTGGCTGGATCAGAGGTCAGTGTACAGTGGGGGAGGTCATGTAGATTCAGATTTTAATGTCATATACACTTAGAAGGGAAGTTGCTCATGGAAACCAACTAGACAAATCAGGCTTTGGAATTTCAGATTGAATACAAAGGCTCGTATGGGGTGTAAAGTCTAAATTCAGAGTGAAAAATTTGGACATGAAAGACTTTAATGAAAACAAAAATTGGTTTCAGTATGAGGGTAAAGCCAGGCATAAGGAGAGTGGGTGAGATGTTAAAGAAATAAGAAAAGAACAGACTATGGATCTACAGTATTTGGGGTATGAATTGGGAGTGTGGCAGTGGAAAGAGAGAGAGGTGGGAAGCAATACCTAGAGAAGGAGGATTATTGTATGGTTGAAAGAGTGTAGAGATTGAAACGTTGTAATTCCATCTCTGCCACTTTTTACGTGTATGAATTTAGCTAATTGTTTCCCTTATTACTTGTAATGTGGGACCAATAATATCTGCCTTATTTGGTTGTTGTGAGAATTAGTGAGATAAAGTATGGAAAGGACTTAGTACAAATTCTGCCATATGATAGATACCCAGTAAATGATGAGTATTCTTATTCTTGGACAGATTATACAGGCAAAAGCAGAAATGAGGAGTGAAGATGATGAAATCCAAGTAGGAAAACAGGGTCAGCATTCAGCAGAGAGAAAGTGTAGGACATGTGGCCCTCATTCATGTACCCAGAATGGTGGGTGTGTGCAGAGATCTAGGTCTTGTCTGAGGCAAAACAATACTATCAACTTACTCTAAGTTTCAAGAACAAAATACGAACCTTAAAAATCAAGAGAGCTCAGACTAATATTAAAGAATATGTAAATGAGACTCATCTTGTTTTCCACATGAGGTCACTGTGACAAGAGGTATTCTGTCAGATGTTGCATGACTCAGTGTATTGGAAATGGGGAGAATTAGTAAAAAGTTATACGAAAAAGTATGATGTATTAGGACTAATCGTATATGACCTCATCCTCCAGCCTTGTCTTGAGCCATTTCTTTCCTCCATGCCACCAATGCTTTCTAATCAAAATGCAAATCATTCTATTGTTAACTTTTTATCTCTTTACTCTGTGCCTTTGCATTTGTTACTTTTTCTCATTGATAGTTCTCTTTCCCTCCAAAACTCTACAATTCTTCATTTGTGTTCACATGGCATCTCCTTGGTGCAAGTTTTCTGGGCTTCTCTGACAAAGAATTATTCTCTACCCTGGCTTCCCAATATCAGTATTCTATTGAACATTAGAATACTCAATATTCTACTGCAATGCTTATTACATTATAGTCTAATTCTTTGTCCTCTTCTCTCTCCTTTACTAGATAGCTCCAATGTCTGTCTGTCTTGGTGTTTCCAGTGCCTGGAACTACCTGGCCCATGGTAGGGATAAAGGTGTGGGGTCTGGAGTGAGGGGAGGGGTCATGGATTGGGAAACTAAAACTAGTATTTTTAAGATAGGAAAGACCTGGATATTACCAGAGAGGTAGTAGCAGTAGAAAGAAAACAGTCAAAGGCAAGAAAATAGAGGGGTTAATTGATGGAACAGTATCCTGAAGCAGATACAAAAATATGGCTAGTAAATAAGGATTATTTTTAGGAACAAAGGTAATTGAGGGATCAACCTTAAAAGTTGTAGGAAATTATTCAGATAAGAAGAACCTGTCAGAAGAATTCTTAAAATATTGATAAGATCAGGTCACTCAACTGCTCAAAATCTTCCAAATTGTCCCCAATCCACTCAGAGTAAAAGCCAACATGATTACAACAGCTTAAAAGGACCATGGTGATAAGTTCATCATCATCTCCCCTAACCTTTACTTCTCTGATTTCATTTCTCTCTTCCACTCACTCTGCTCCAACCATACTAGACTCCTTGCTGTTCCTCACATTGTGCCTCACCTTAGGGTCTTTCAACTATCTATCACCTTGTTTGGAAAGCTCCTCCACCCGATAGCCACATTGGCTAATGCCTTCAGCTTCTTCATGACTCTGCTCAACGAGGCTAATCCCAACCATTCTATTTAAACTACGAACCTACCACTACTCTACACACTCCTGATTTTACTTAACTTGCTCTATCTATTTTTTCCATAGAACTTATTAGTTCCTACGTTTATATCTTTATTGTATTTATTCAAAGTCTTGAGAAGGACTGATTTACTATCTGTATCCCTCCACTAGGATGTAACTTCTTAAGGTGAGGGCTTTTGGTCTGTTTTTGTCTGTTTTGTTCAGTGAGCTATAGCAAGCACCTAGAATAGCACCTGTCACATAGGAGGTGCTCAGTGAATACTTGTGAAGAGAATGATCTTAATACACAGAAAGAGATGGGATTTCTGATAGATGAGTTTCCTGAGAAAACTCATGGATTGTAGAACAGATAGAAGGACCAGTTTTAGACGAGAAGTAAGGAAGGAATAAACAGAGATGCCAGAAGGTGAGTATTACGATTTGGTAGTGGGAAGGTGAATAAATATGCATCTGATAGCCTCATTTGTCTTTGTAAAATAAGAAGTAAAATTGTCCACTCAGAGTTGGAGGAGGGAGTGGGGTGGCAGATTGGAAATCAGAGGCAAGCGTCTCTAGGAAAAGTGGAGAGTGAATTGATTTAAAATATAGCGTAGGATAGCCAGCAATTGTTTGTGACCCAGTTGAGCTCCATGAGCATTAATTTACGATGGTATCATCTGTTCTGTTTGTGATTTTTCTCCATCAAAATTTGGGCCCAGGTGCCCAGGTGCAGATAAGAAGAAAGCCCCATTGTTCTCTTGGAAGGCCACCTCTGAAGGCAGTGTTAGGACATTCCTCCAATGGGCTACCTGAGCATGTATCTTTCTTATGGCTGTAACACATTGGACTGTAATGGCTTGTTTCCTTGTTGTATTTCCTTGTCAAGACTTTGGAGGGAGAAACCTGACTTTTTCATCTTTATAATTTCAATATGCAGTGCGGGGCTAGGCCCCCAATCAGTACTTAATAGATCCTTATCTTAACCACTAACAATGCTATAAATCCATGATTTGTTGAATTTTTTTTAGTATTAGAGCCTTTTTTCACTCTTAAGTGAACTGAAGTTTAGGTAAGTTGAGGTTTGCTTCACATTCAAAAGTTAGCAAGAGATAAACCATGGACTAGAATTCAGGTCTTCCAATTATTTGTCCCACTGCTCTATACTTTCTTTAATGCTTTAGTGCCTTCTGCATATCGAGTTTTCTTTTGTCCATGTTGAGTTTCTTGTTATGTAACGCTTTTTTTTTCTATGATTCTTGAAATAGCAGACATGAGTGAGTTTGCATTCACATATAAAAATTCCTTCACAACCTTGTTCTGTAATTGTTCAGATTTAGGTTATGTGCTTCCACATTGCCGCACACATTTTGCATAAAAATTACCTCCCTAAGAGAGTTGTTAAAATTAATTAAAGGGTAATTCTTTCTAGTGGAGAAAGCAGTCAAATTTGAGTTCTATTTCACTGTGGTCATTTTTCCAATTCATATAACCAACTACTTTATTGTAGATCTGGGGGTTTTAGGCCATAAAGTACATATATATCAGAAGTAATTACTAACTGTCTAGGAAATTCCACATCTTATTCTTATGCCCAATTCCCTTAATTCAGCATTTCTTTTTCTAGATCATCTCTATTGGTCTCCTTGAAAAGTATCTTTTTAGAATAGTTTTATTTATAGTCTCAAGCCAACATTTATCTTTAATTCTCTTTTTCTTCTATCCTCATTTGTGAAGAAAGTGTTTTTAAATTTCAGTTCTCTCCTCAGATCCTATTGTATCCTGGGGAGCCCAGAACCCTTCTGAGTTGGTGAATCTCCTATCTCCCCGCTCCCATGGCAGCTCCTCATGCAACTTGTCCTCAAGCAGTGTCCATAATAAGGAGGCATTTCAGAGTCCAGGAGTAAATAGAATTAATCAAGTAATACTTCTTCCTGTAGTATAACAATTTTCAGCCAGTCTTTGAAGAAGATGTAGATGAATCACACAAATTAATTTGGGATCAAATGTGAATTTATATATATAGCTATTGTATATATAAATTTATCATATATGCATAGCTATATATATGGTTAAGTTTAATATATAAATAATAGTTACAGATATATACATTTATAACTAATGTTATTACTGTTATCAGGAGCCATCTAAAAAGTCAAAGTGCATTTAATTATTCTAATAGGGAAGACATACTTCATTTGGTTTTTCAAGCCATGGCCCTAAAAATAGGCAGAGAATTGTTAACCGCCTTTGCCAGAGTCTTCAAAAGACATACTGTACAGCTGAGGAGTAGGCCAGAGTCAGCAATCTTCAGGTCAGGAGGCTTTTTTCTCATTGATATTCTGTTTTTATTTTCTTCAGATTTTGAACTTCCCTGCTTCCCTGTCTTCCTTTCTGGCCCATCATTGACACTTATGCCAATCACTGCGGTCTCCTACCTTCTAGCTGCCCCTGAAATGTGGGAGTATGCTGATAAGGAAAGTATTTACTCCTAGTACTACGTGAAGATCTCTTTTTGACCGAGATCCGAAGGTCTGAACCCTCAATCTGACCTCATGATTCTGCTTTGTGATCCTTAGTTTTGTGTCTGTGATGGATTTATTTTCATGTCCTGTTCTAATGCCTGATTTTCTGGAGAGGATCTTGTGGCTTCTCATGACTCCCAAATCATCCCCTAGGACCAGATTATGACACTAGGGTTAAGTTTAATGATAAAGCACCCTTGCTGCTGCTGGGGATTTCACTCTTCAGTTTGGTGATATTATCATTAAATCCTTTGTTTCTGGTGTCCTAACCATGTGGAAGGAAAATATCACCCATATTAGTGAGTTCACCCTTTTGGGGTTCCCTACTTCCCCTTGGCTGGAGGTGCTGCTTTTCCTCCTCTTCCTCATCACCTACCTGTTTGTGCTGTTGGAAAATTTGGTCATCATCCTCACTGTATGGGTCACTGAGTCCCTGCACAAGCCCATGTACTATTTTATGGGCACCATGTCTTTTCTGGAGACCTGGTATATGTCTGTCACAGTGCCCAAGATGCTGGCTGGGTTCCTACTTCGTCCCAATACCATCTCTTTCCTGGGATGCATGACCCAGCTCTATTTCTTCATCTTTCTAGCCTGTACTGAATGTGTGCTCTTGGCTACCATGGCCTATGACCATTATGCACCTATATGTTGGCCTCTTTGCTATCCAGTCATGATGACCACAGGATTTTGTGTTCAGCTGACCATCAGTTCCTGGGTGAGTGGTTTCACCATCTCCATGGAAAAAGTATACTTTATCTCTCAAGTTGCCTTCTGTGGCAATAATATCTTGAAACATTTTTTCTGTGATGTGTTCCCCATCCTCAAACTGGCCTGCATGGACTTTTCTATGGCTGAGATGGTCGACTTTGTGCTAGCCATTGTCATCCTTATGTTTCCTCTTTCAGCCACTTCCCTCTCCTATGCCTTCATTGTCTCCACCATCCTCTACATTCCCTCAGCCACTGGGAAGAGGAAGGCCTTCTCCACCTGTGCCTCTCATCTTACAGCAGTGGTCATATTCTACACAGCTGTGACCTTCATCTATGTCCAACCTCGGGCCATTACTTCATTCAATTCTAACAAATTTATCTCAGTCATATATGCAGTCTTTACTCCCATGCTCAACCCTATCATCTACTGCCTGAAGAACAAGGAGGTCAAAGATGCCATCAGAAAAACCACGGCAAGTGGCCAATCCCTTTTCTTGAGAGATTTTCTTTGCTGAAGACATCCAGATATTCCTCCTCTTTTCATCATTTGACTTAACCTCAAAAAACAACTTCATTAGGTGCAAGTCGGCAATTATAAACATACATAGTAAAATAATCTAGGGAATAAGAGAACAGATATCAAAGAAAATCTCCTTTCCTCTCAGGTGTTCATTAAATTTTTCCTTTTGTAAGGCAGTGAGAGAAATATGCAGAACTCTACGAGACACATATTAGTAAAAGAGTTACAAAATAATTTTATTTTTTAGGAAGATATTTAGAAATAATCAGTTATTATCCAACTACTTTTTAGAATTCTATTGGTGAGATTTTTCCATTTTGATTTTGTTTTGTTTTGATTTAATAAAAGTCCTCTCTATCTTAGGAGGAGTACACAAAAAGATGTTCTGCTGTAGTCAGTTTCATGGCTATGGCCTGTTTATTGCTTCCAAGGTGATTAGGGGACTGGTTCCTTTTATAATTAATTGACCTTGATGAAATCTTATTTGAATTACTTTTTCAAATTTAGGAAAATACGAGAGACAAACTTCTTTGCAGTCTTCTTTCTGCAAAACTTGTCATGGCAGAAAGAAAACAAGATTATATATACATATAAGTATATATATGTATACACACACACACACATATATATGATTATATATGTATAAGATATATATACATGCACACAAATGATTAATTATATGTATATATAAAGATATATATACACATATATATGATTATATATATATTATATGTATTATGTATATGGATATATATGTATTATATGTACAATATATATAGAATCTAGCAACCTGACAAAGGAAGAGAACTAATGCATAACATTATAGCATTAGTTCTCTTCCTTTGTCAGAACTTTTACATATATAATTTTTTGGATGTAATCGTCAGAGGTGAAACCCTAAAAAAACAGTAGCGGCAATTCGTTGGAGTCCACTCCTTTTTAGGTAAAGGAAACATTGGCATTGACAAGAGGCCACAAAAGTGTTTTGCTTAGATGGTACTTGCCCTGAGTGTTCAAGGTTTTCCCAGAAGTGCCTCCTTCTCTTTTGTCTTTATTTTATTTTAGAAAGGTAGATGCAATATCCAAAGAAGTAGTATATGCTTTCATTCAGCCATTATAGAATGATAGAAGAGAGAAGGATTCTGTCTTGCTCAGTGACAATATTGGATGGATGGATTGGTGAAATATGGTCTGCCAAGAGTTTGAGGATGGCAGGCATACTATTTCAGCCCAATACTTTGGAAACCACATTTCATAAGTTTTAACAGGGTTATTAATTGATATACCGTATTTTCTTTGTTTTGACTTTATGTACGTTGTAATTACATGGTCCTCCCGTTTTGTATTAAGTTTTTATATAAGATCAGATGAGATTGTTTTAATTTAGTGTTCCATAGATTAATATATTTTACAAACTGTGGTAGTTCCCAGTTTATTTAAAACTGTTATATGCTCCTGGCCTTCATTATTTCTAGCCTAACCACTCTATATCCCTATTAATATGTACCAGTTTTCTTTAGTCGAAATGTAGTGTTATAAGCCACGGCCCTCACATAGGCACTAATAATAATATAAGAGGCTTTACTTTGAATCCTATAATTTCTGACCCCAATGTTTGAATTTTCTAATCTTTTTGTCAAAAGATAGCAGTGTTATGCTGTATATTTCTGCTTGAAAACCTTTATTAATTGCTAATGGACGATTATTGCTATTTTGAAATTTCATGGGATTACTGTTTATTCTATAAATGCTTTTTAATTTTAGTTAAGCATCCCTGGCATCATTCATTATTATAACCTCAATTATCATCTATGTTTATAACCTGACATTCCTTTTCTTGTCTAGATTATCAAATTTTTAAGTTGTCTATTCAGCCATTAGATCATTTGTTGTGCAAATTCTCTGTGTCCTTACTTATTTTCTATTTTACCTAATGAATTGGATATCTGAGACAGTGATCTTATTGTTTCTATAGCAGTGCATTTTCTCTCTCTTTTTATTGTTATGGGTTTGCTTTTTATATTTCTTTTATTTTAATATTTTAAATATTTACTTTTAAATGTTTAAAACCTACAGAAAAGTAGAGAAAACAGTATAACTGACAGCTTTGTCCACAACTCAGATTTTAAAAATTGAAGATTGAAAGCTGTATATAATTAGATTTTATAATGATGTTACCTATTTAGTATTGTATTCCTATTATAATTATGTTACTTTATTCAAAATCATGGGAGTGGCATTCAAGAAGGAAAGATAGATTGAACTATAGCTGAATGGAAATCTTCAGAGAAAGAGGTGGATAGGTAAGGCTATGTTCCCTGGGCATCCATCAGACAGTGAAGGAGCAAAAAAGTAATAGATAAATTGTCAATATTGAGGATAACAGGAAGGTTCCCATTGACTAAATTGTTTGGAAATTGTCTTTAGGTAAAATTTTCCTTTCATTGCAGAAAAACTTTTATTGAGTGTATAAGTAAGGGTTCAACAAGAAAAACAGAACCACCAGAAGATATATATCAAGATATTTATTACATGGAGCTGGCTTATGCAATTGTGGGGGTTGGCAAGGCAAATCTGAAATTCATAGGGCAGGCTGTCAGGAAGGGCAGCCTGGAACTCTCAGGCAGGAGCTGAAGCTGCTTCCTACTGGTGGAATTTCTTCTTCCTCGGGGAAGCCTCAGTTCTGCTCTGAAGTCCTTTCAGCTGATTGAATCAGGCTCTTCTAGATTATCTAGAATAATCTCTAGTACTTAAATTTAAATCATTATGGACTTGAATCACATCTACAAGATACCTTCACAGCAACACCTAGATTAGTGTTCGATTAAAAAACTGGGGACTTGGGCCGGCCCCGTGGCTTAG